TCATGACTGGTCTTAATTTCAGACATACTGAGCCACTAACCCCTATGTTCTTTTGGTCTACATTGATAATATTCTCCATTTGGGGAAGTTGTGATGAAAGCCCATTGAGAAGACCCTGGAGAGCTGAAAGGCTCGTCAAAATGGAGCTTCTAAGTTTTCACACAAAGGATATGTTTCAGTCCTTGTGAATCAAGGATATGGGTATAGCGGCCCAAAAACCTGTAGATTAACCTGCAGAGATTAAACTCCAAAACTTGGACAATGGCCTGAGGATACTGAAGGTAACAGAGGCTTGTTGGGAAAGGTCATCTACTTACCATAATCATAATCTGCCCATTTATACATGCTTGTGGATGCCACACATATCTTGTGCGTCACCACACATATCTTGTGCGTCATACTAAGACTTGTGAACACTCAGGAGGAAAGGTAAGTTAATGCCAGGAAATGAAGGAACAAAGATTTTGATAGGTGCACTCAAGATGCAGATTGGGTTGGATCTCTGTACTATAACTGATTTACGATGGGCTTTCATTACCTTAGTGGTAACTTGGTGCAATCAGTTGTTGCAGGTCTGGTGCAAAAGGAGAATATAGGATCATGTCTTCTCCAACCCATGAGTTGGTTTTGTCAAAAGCATTATTGAGAGTTCTTGTTCTCCAGGTTTCAGTTAGTGGCAGATTGGCTGAAATTAGAACACCAGTTTATGCCGGAACTTGTTTGTATCACGTGTCTATGGGTGACTTATGTTTATTTTGGTAACTGGCGAAGTGTCATGTTCTTACATCACTGAGTATCTCATTTTTACAACTAAGTGATGGGAAAATTATCAAACAGCACCCAGTATACGAACTATTTTTAAGGAAAACGTGTATGTAAGGTTGATAGGCTAATTCTTGATGGGGCTCTTATCGCGCATGAATGCATCCATTCATGCCATGTGGCAAGGAGGCCAGGTCTTATCATCAAGTTGGACTAGGAGAAAGTGTATGACCACCTAGATTGGGTAGTGTTGGAGGAAAATCTAAGGTGAATGGGTTTTGGTCAAAAATGGAGGAGCTGGATGAGGAATTGCATCTCCAATGTTGTTTTCTCAATCTTGATCAACTGGTTTCCCAAAGGTTTCTTCCCTTCTTCTAGAGGCCTTCGGCACAGAGACCCCCGCTCTCCCTTCCTTTTTGGCATAGCTGCCAAGATCTTCAGCCAATCTCTAGTAAGGATGTACAGTCACGGTCTTTTGGACCGCTTCACAGTAGGCTCTGGGGGCCCTGTCATTTCCCATCTGCAATATGTCGATGACACCCTAGTCTTCTGCGATGCCTCGAAGCATCAAGCCCACTCCTTTCTCCTCTTCCTTAAAGCCTTCCAGATAGCCACGGGATTCAAAGTGAACTTGAACAAAACAAAAATGATGGGTGGCCCTAGATGCCATCTTGTTACCCAATTTGCTCTTTCTTGGGGATGTGGGGTTCTTCCCTTACCCACTACGTATCTCGGCTTACCCCTGTCTCTGGGGAAACCCAAAAAGTATCTCTAGGGACACATCATAGACAAGTTTGATCACAAATTTGCTGGTTGGAAGGGCCGCTTCCTATCCTTAGCTAGGAGAGTAACTCTAATAAAGGCGACTCTCGAGAATGTCCCAATCTACCAAATGTCCTTGTTCCACATCCCGGCCTCAATTGCAGCTTGCCTAGAACAACTTATAAAGAACTTCTTGTGGTCTGGAGATGGCTCAGCCAACAAAATTCACCTTGCGCGTGGGACAAGGTCTGTAGGCCGAAAGCATCAGGCTAGTTGGGCATCCGAATTCTGAGAGATACTAATTCTGCACTCCTCTTCAAATGGTGGTGGAGATTCTTCACGCAGGAGGGACACCTTTGGCAGGAGGTCCTCCATAGCAAATATAGGATTCATCCCACCAGATAGATGTCCCCATGCCAGGCCAATAACCTCTCCTCTGGTTACTGGTGATCCATTGTTCACTGCTACGACCTGTTCAAATTTTATTCCCACATTCTTGCAAGAAGTGGCTGCCGCCCCCTCTTTTGGACTGACATCTGGGTCAGTCACACCCCTTTGAGGGACTCTTTCCCCCGACCTATTTCTGCTCGCTATTGATTGATGCCTCCATCCTTGACCATTTCCCCCTGATCTCTTCCTGTCGTTCCTGGTCACCCACTTTTAGACGAACCCTCAGTGACCGGAAAGTGGGGTCATTCCTCCAACTTCAAGCCTTATTACACTCCATTTACCTCCCTTACACGGGGCAGATAGACTCATTTGGACCCCCACCTCTCATGGTTTTTTCAATGTCACTTCGTGTTATTTGAGCATGGCATCTTCTCGCTGCCCTCTTCAGCCCTTGCCCTCCTCGGCCAAAGCCTGGGTAACCTTTATCCCCCTAACCTTCAAATCTTCAATTGGCTCTCTATCTACCAAAGGATGTTTACTGTGGATCAAATTCAAATGCGAGGAATCCCTCTTCCCAACCACTGTCCTTGTGCCAAAATGCTGAAGAAACTAATGCCCACCTGTTCCTCCATTGCCCAGTAGCCTAATACCTTTGGGGGTATATCCTTCAACTTTTTGGCTTGGTTTGGGTCACCCCTCATTCTGTCCCTGGCGTTTTCAGCCTCTCTCAATCCCTCCTATGGCCCAAAGCTGGAACCATTCTATGGAAGACCATGGTCTCTTCCACTTTGTGGTCCATTTGGATCGAAAGAAACTATAGAATCTTCAGAGGAGAAAGTATCTCAGCAGCCAGCCTCAAGGAGAAAGTGTTCTCTTTGGTCATTTTCTGGACCAAGAACCTCAAACAGTTTAGAGCTTTCTCCACCTCAGATTTCTAGCTTAACTGGCTCCAGTTGTGCCACCTAATTACCCCGAGGGTGGCCCAGGCCTCGCTTTGGAGGCCCTCTCAACCGGGATCAATTAAACTTAACTTCGATGGATGTTCCCTACGAGATCTAGGACCTGCCGGGGTCGGAGACCTATTCAGGGACCACTCTGGCTACACCTTTTGTTCCCTCTCCAAACACATTGGTTTCAACGACAGCACAACAGCAAAGGCTACTGCACTGCTTGAATGCATGAGGTTGTATAGAACTAAGTGGGGCAATCACATTGCCATTTAAGGTGACTCCATATCCATCATTTTGCTTGGGCCTCGGGCTCAGCTGTTCCTCCTTGGAGACTAGCTCACATCTTCGATGAAATCGGCGACATTATGAGCCCAATTGTAGTTTCCTGGACTCATATCAGGCATGAAGCAAATTCACTGGCTGATACCCTTGCCAAAGATGGAGCAGCAGCTCCCACTGAGCTTGGCATCGAAAACCTGTTTTGTACACTGTTGTCTGATCGAGAATGCAAAGAATCTTGCGCAGAATATTATATCTAATTTCCTTTTATGTACCCATCTGACCCTGTAATTAGGGTACTGTTTGTGTAGTCATTCCTTACTCTTAATACGAGTTATGTTCTCTAAGAAAAAAGGTTGCAATTTTACTTGTAGAAGTGAGGTTGCAAACTACACTATGTATTTTGTTTGGATGATATAGATTTGATGCTATCTTAAAAGACGTGCCACTTTTAGATATTTTTTAGAAGACGTGTCAAATCTACACCATTTAATTAAAATGAATGGTGTAGAATATCGCAACCTTATAACTACAAGCAAGGTTGCCAACTTATATAAACCAAACCCATTTTTTAACATTTTCAACTTCTTATTTTGATCTTACTTCAATGAGTGTATGATTAGATGATCATGGATTAGAAATTCTAGGACATATCACTTTGACAAATCCACTTGTTCGCGAGGACATATCACTTTGACACTATAAACTGAAAAGATTATGTGCTTCTTGGAGCAAACTGTATATTTGCGGATTTGCTTGCTGAAACAAAACCCTAGCAAGGAGTATCGTCAGGACTTCACGTTTTGTGGACCTGACCTACTCAACATATTGTGGCCAATCTAGAAAAGTGAAAAATTTCAATATAAACCCTGGAACTTGATGAGAAAAATCACCTGGGAACTTTGTGCAAGGAAATAATGCCCTAGGATGCAGATAGACCCTGCAATTTTTGGATGGTCAGATCTAGGTTCCTAGGTACCAAAAAAAAACAGAAACAAATAAGAAAGCGGATAATTTTAAACAAATTCAACTGCATTATCACAATCCCTGAACTCTTTAGTAAGTTAGCTGTGTGATTATTTCAAGGGAATTTTATTTGACCTTGAGAGAGCGAGAAGATGGAGAAGAGAAATGGGAACCATACTGAGTTTGATGGGTGTCAGAAATGGAGATGGCTATGAGGCTTGAGTGAGAGGAAGGCAAAACTGAACCATATTTAGTTTGACAGGCATCACAGATGACGATTGCTACTGTGAAAGAATGGGGCTTGAGGGAGAGGGAGAGGAAGAGGAACAGAACCGGGGTTCCCACTTTTGGCAAGATGTTAAAAATTGAGGAAGGGTGATTCTTTTGTTGTACTTTATTCTTAAGAAACTTGCAGGCATGTGAAGAAAACCACTTCATTTTTTACTGAGGGGCGAAAGTGGAAAGTGCCGCAATATATACTTGTTTGTGAATAGATTAAGCTTAATCCACCCAAAACTTAAACCCTTACTCATTTTGCATAGCTATCTTGAGGCCATGGACATCAATATGAGTGTCTGCGTGCGTCTGGTACCTCAGCCTAAAAAGCTCTAATGGCAAGGTACGTCCACATAATTAGCATTTTAAATGCAATAATATATGATGAACTTTTCGTAACTCTCACAACTGAGTGGTTGGACAAGTGGAGGCTCTGATGCGGCAGATGCCTGAACTTTATGTTTTATTCCCAATCATGTTTGGAAGTGTGATATGTCGCGGCACCATGATAAAATTTGGGTGTCGAGGTAACACTGCTTCTTACAAATGCACAAAATTTGAAATTTTTTTGCATAGTAGTCTCTCTCTCTCTCAATACTCTTTTGCAATACACAGGAAGCAATGATCAAAGATACACTGGAACGGGCAACTGACCCAAATCTGAATCTGAAAGGGTATCTCAGCAATGCTTACATTCATCCAGTCTTTAAGGGTGGTGAAGAGAGTGATTCTGTTTCATTAGCAGATATCGAGCAAGATGAGGCACTGGTACCCACGAAACGCCAGTCTCGAATGAACACGCCTCAACCGAGCAAATACAGCTCATCATCCTCCTCACATCTGGAGCTGCAACAACTGTAAAATACAATGCAGCTTTATGTATAATGGCATCCCAACTGTACAATACTTCTATGTAAACAGTTGTACAAATGAGAAGAAAAGACCGGTTAGCGAGAACGGAGAATGTGACACTAGTCTTTTCTGTCATCTTTCTCTATATCAAATACTGATGTAAATTTAATGTTTGTTGTTGTTGTCATGTTTGAATTTTGGAGAAATTCATCAAAGGCCGGTCTATTCTTTTTTCAAAACTACATTATTCAATGAAACTCAAATTGCTTCGAAGCCTGGGAAATCAACCTCTGCCCTATGAAATGAACTTCTACCCAACCAAGCCATTTATGTGTGGGTTCTTTTACAATATACCCATAAATCATTGTTTGTATGCTTCTTTCACTTTTCTTCATGGATCCATATTTGACCAATAAGGCCTTCGTATGATCAGTTTGTGTTTACTTTTTTATGTACTCAAATGTCTTTTTACTATAAAAAAGGAGCTGTAGTGTTGATTGGGGTATCGCAAAGCTTTGTTTTATGTGAAATTTACATCCGTACTCTTATTTTTTTTACTGTTATTACAGTTTGGCCCCAAAATATATGGTATTTACACAAAGGTCCTTGCTTTCCAATATCTTTATGTTTTTTTTTTTGAGTTTGTCTTGGTTGAATGTTTTAAACATCGGATTGTATTTTGAATCTATTTTGTTTTTAATTTTTTTGATAGTCATAGATCGGTTCAATGTCAAAACCATCGAACTACGAATACCATACACTTGTTAGTCAGTTCGGTGTTTAAAACATCATACCGTTTTAAACCTTCCAAAAATAAAGTTTAATGGCGGTCTGCATCAATGGGTGAAATCTTAATTGGGACATATTAAGGGAACATGTTACCGAGTACTAATACATGTAGAATTTTAATTGGTCTTAATCGGTGTATATCCCCAATCTATTTTTGCTACCAAACCAGAATAGCATCCCCTCTCACAACCTGCCATGGAGTATTTCTGAGGATATTCAAGAATTCCCTTCTAAAGCGATCAGGCCCAAGTCATCGAAGATCTCCTCCGAATGGGTTGTGAATTCCTATGAGCACTATATTTACTTATCAAAACCTCTCTGGGCAACTGCTTATTAGAAAACCCACATCTTCCCCACCATTTTACATCAAAGCTATATTCATATATTGCAACTTCTCTCCCAGATCTCCATCCTATTTACGAGTACAAACTTTATACCATGAAACTAGATTAAATGTCTTATATCAATACGTCCACCCCAAAGAAATCTTCTCATCACACCCCTCATACCACTTCACAAACTAATGAGCCATTCCCTTCTAAAAAGAGACATGACGTATATAGGCAGACTAGAAAAGGTTGATTTGATTAAAATTGCCACCCCTTAGAGATAAGAATTAGGCTTTCTAGATGTCAAGTTTAAACTGAACCTTTGAATCACAGTATCCCAACCCTAGAAATCCTCAATTCCAAGTATCTAATAAGTAACTTGCCAACAACATAGCTCGAAACGTCAGCTTGCCAACCTACAATCAACACCCACTTAGTTTTCCCAAGTTGACTTATGACCAGAAATGACCTCAAAACATTTGAAGGAAACATCTAAGATCATGGATTTTCATCTCACTCACTTCATTGAAAATGAAGATATCATCAACGTATTGTAAATGTAAAATCTTCACCTTATCTCCAATAGAAAAGCCCGAAAGTAGACCCTCATTAATTACACAATTGAGCGTCTATAATGGTAAAAGGTGCAGGGGACAAGGGCTTTCCCTGATGATCTCCTCCACTATATTAATTCCTTTAGTGATTTCATCAATTAAAATAGAAAAACGAGTTGTAGGCAAGCATCCCCAAATCTAATTTCTCTATTTATCTCGAAACCTTATAGCCAACATCATCTATAGCAAGACCTATTAGTCCACTCTATCTTAAATCTTTTTAAGGACCACTTTACACATAACCCCTATCTTATTCGGGAGTGAATGCATTCTTGAGCAACTAAGATGCAGCCAGTGATTTGTCTACTTTGAATAAATGCATACTAAGGTCCACTAACTTCTAGAGGCAACGCCTCCCTTAGCCTCCTCACGAGCAGCTTGGCAGTAATCTTGTAATTAGTAGAGATGAGACTATTAGGTTTTATATCGCTCAGATTTTTCTATTTCTCTTTCTCACGCATCAAGGCAACATATGCAGTATTGATACCCATGTTCATTTACCTCTATGATGGAACTCATCTACCATCAAGAAATATCCAGCTTCAATTCTTCCCAAAAATGTAGCAAAAAGGTAAGTGGGACCCCATCAGGGCAAGGAGCTCCATCACCATAAAAACTCTAGATTTCTTCTTTGATTTCACTCAAAGAAAATGATTTCTTTAAATCCGTAGCCACATAACCAGGGAGTTTGTTGAAGAGAATTTGACTACTCTTAATATTTTCTATGGATTGATTATAAGTTGAAGTGTTTTATATATAGGGGCACTCTTGATACACACACTTATATAAGTGTGGAGGTGAGGCTGTTTCTGATAAAATGGAACTCGTCTCTAGAGCACTTATGAAATCGAGATATAAACACAAGACCCAAAAAGTGATGGCAGCTAAAAGACACCATAGTTGAATATTATTTGTGAATTATACTATAGGTCTGTTGAGATAAACAACCTGATTCAAAGTTATATGCAACCATGGTACTTGATGGATTTTGTAGTGTATATTCTAAGTGAATGTATAAAACGAATGATGCTTTTATCATATGCAAATAATATGTTTCCCTACTTTTTGTTGTTTTTTTGAAATAGGAGAGGAAATGTTTTGCGTTTTTGTTCGGTCAAAATACTAATGTGTATTTCAAAATAACACTATAGTTTTGTGTGTTTTTCCCAAAGCTTTATTTTGTAGAGAGAGAAAAGTGTGGGTTTCAAAGCTTTATTTTATAGATAGAGAAAAATATTAGTCCCACGTCGAAAATGAGAGTGTGGATTAACTGGTATTTAAATGTTATTAGTTCAATTTTATAGTTGTTCGGTATTTTAATAAGTATGTAGATCTCATCAAGTTGGTGGGAATGTATGTGTTGATTTTATTTTCTAAATTCCTATCCATGCATTTTATAAATATACCATGAGGCAAGTTAACTTCATATTTTCAAATGCTGGTATTTTATCTAATACTTTACAATTAGTTTTTTATTGTGTTTTATAGAATAACTTTACAATTTATTCTCCATGAAATTAGAATTAATTCTGCTTTCTTTGGATGATAAGTAATGTTGATCCAAGTGGACCGCGAGGCTAGCTTCTTTCAAATATTGGTATTTTCTCTAATACTTTGCTATTAATTTTTTTATAATGAATTGTTTAAAATTTTAAATTTAGTTTGGAAGGACTTTTAATTAATAAAAATTATTTTTATAAAAAAAATTGAGTACTTTTTAAGGTTTTGATTTCTTTAAACTATCTATTTTAGTTGCCAACTTTTATGTATAAAAAATCATTTATGGCTATCATTTAATTTTATTAATGAGATAGCCTAATATGATATGAAATATTATATTTATATGATTTTATTAGATTATATTTTTATTATGAAGACGTTTATATAGAGCTAAGGCTCTGAACAATCAAATTATAGCCCACCTCATAATTTCACTAGAAGAGGTTATTTTGGTGCCCAAATATCCTAAATTGATCATCTTGACATCAAGATGCATGGATATCAGAAAAAATGGATTTTAAATTTTGGAAATAGTGCATCTTGTAATGCATTTTTGGGTCGTAAATTTTCAAGATTTTAAAGTTTTCATAGATCTGCTTGATCTACACTATTTTTGAAGCTTTAAATTTCATAATTAAAGATAAAAATATATTTTAAAGCTATCACAAAGATTTTCAGTATTGAAACCACATTTCTCAACAAGGTGGGCTCAAGTTTGATTGTTCAGAGCGTCGGCTCTTTACAAACCGTACACTTTTTATTTTTATTTTATTTTTTTCAAGATCAATACTTTTATTATAATTTACGGAAAAGAGATTACATCATCAGAAACTAAAAGGCTATGAATACAAATTCCCCCTTTAACAAGGGTATCGGCATTAGCGTTAGCCTCCCTATAAACATGAGCAAATGACGCCATTACATTGTCAACCAAATCCATCACCTCTAGCCACCAGGCTCGAAGTTCCCAACGAATTCTTTGCTCCTTCTTGCACCAGGCTCGAAGTTCCCAACGGATTCTTTGCTCCTTCTTGCACCGTATGATTACATTCAAAAAATCACCTTCAATCGTGCAACTTCTTATTATTTATCAGTTACGTACAACACATGGGCTGCTAGTAGTAATAAATAATTCGCTCGGATTTTCAAAAAAAATATAATATTTTGTTAATCGAGGGTGCTTTCTTTACTTGCACTTGGGCCAAAGTTGAAGGCTGTGGTTGAAGAAGCCGAAGTGAAATTATTAGCATATTATATGGAAAAGTTTATTGTGTGTTTCAAGATGCATAACTCCACCCCAATTTTTCATGGATTTATGGATGGGATTATAACTTAAAGTCACTAGGAAGTTTGAAACATAAGCTCTTTCCAAATAGATTCATGATTTTTGCAACTAAAAAATTATAATGTCCAAAGAATTAAAATGAATGGTCAACAAGAAAAAGTTAAATATTGATTATTCTTTGTTTGGAAAAGTATACAAAGAGATTTATCTTAGGTACAAGGTGGTCACAAGTAATCTTAACCATTGAATGTGAAATTAAATAGATGCATTTACTCCATTGACCAAGCTCAAGCTTCAAAAGAAATGTTTTCAAACTTTGTGACAAACCAAATGTTGGTGGTATAAGACCAAAAGGGCTAGAAATGCAATCTTTTAAAATTTTTCCATTGTATTAAAACTCAAGGGTTTAAATGCATGAATATCTTAATACAAAGGCATAATACATATGTTCTAGCCTACAAACATGGTTTGTACACATTTAAATAATAAAAATTCAACACTAATAGGTCTCTTATAAAACCCTTACTAAAAAATACAATTAAACTCAATACAATATTCAAATACTCACAATATATATCTCTACAAAATATTACATGACTTGCAATTGCAATTTATCATTATATCAAAATTATATGATAATTTCATATTTATTCTTCATCATCATCATATATCACAATGTCTCATACGTATCATACACTTGATCATAATAATCCAATGAGATTTCAATTCACATAAACAACAAAACATAATATTAAA